AGTCAATATAGCAGCCAGTGAAAATAGAAACGTCCCTATAGCAATCAATATAGCAGCCAGCTAAAATAAACCCTTCCCTTTTAAGGGCTATATAATAGTCAGCTAAATGGAAGAATTGGCACCCCTGCTGGAGAGCTCAGCAGAGAAGCCAAGGAATGAACAGGCCATGAGCACTGAATGATCCTTGTGCTCAAACACGCCCTGCCCAGGAAGGGAGAAGACATCCTAGGCAGGAGCCTGCGAGGGGCACTTGGCAGGCTGCTCCCAGTCCCAAGGAGTAAATGCCCAGGTGGTAAGCCGGCCAGAGGGCACGCCTCACTGAGGTTTAATTAACATGGCCAGAGACTCTAGAATCCTGCTCACACTGTCAGCGGGTGTAAGGGAACGTCTGTTTTGGGTGCGGAAGGAGAGTACCTTGATCTGAACCCCGTTCGTCCCGCCCGCCCCGGTCCCAGAAGGGAAGAGTATTGAGTTAACAGTCTGTGGTTTTCTGTTTTCCAGCAGCGGGGACAGCGGTTGTGTCAGAATCAGACATCTAGCCAAGTGGGTGAAAAGCATGACATTCTACGTTGAATGCCGCCCAGCAGATATATAGAACTCGTTTTAAAATCCACAGCCACACACCTATTAACTATTGTAACGATACCACCTTTCCCCTACTCACAACATGGAAATACTCTCCTTCCCTGGAGACATACAGGAAAGAAGTTGTATTTTAAGAGAATTCAGAGGATGGCTCACTCTGAAGGCCAAAAAACGCCACCAAAGGCCTTTAAAAAAGAAGAAAAAGAAAATAAGGAGCATTTGATTAAGAGAAGTTTCTATGCATTTAAAGTCACTGTTCTCTTTCGCTATAAGCAGCTACTTCTAAAATCAGTTCTGCGGGAGGATGAATTTGACAAATGTGGAATACAACTACTGACACCAGTGCCAACTGCAGCCAGCACTCCTGAGGTGGATGCTGGGCCTGTTATCTCCATCCAGATGAACATGGGGACGCCCCTCCAGTCTCATTACGATTCCACAATCTGTCTGCCATCCTGTGGGTAAACCCACAGAGGGTCCCTGCCTCCCCGGCCAGGTGTTTAACACCCAGTGATGCTCATGTCATCAATCAGGTGACTCGGGAAAGTGCCACAGTGTCAGACACTGCAGGAAAAAAGAAAGTTTGAGAGCTCAAGTCCTTAAAATTTTAGATCCCAACACCCTACCTAAGCCCAAAGACTGAGCAGGGGCTCTTCACTTCAGGAAGTCCATCACATAACACCTCAGGAGGGGAGACGACGGCATGGTACAGGCAAACATCTGACGAGGGACACCAGCGCTCACCGGTCCTACAGCCCATCCAAGGACGGCCTCGTGCTCTCAATGTTACACGGCAGCCATCCCATGGAGGAGATGGATATGGGGTGGAGAGAGGCACCCATGATTTGACAGCAAATGCAGCAGCACAGAAAGTGAGATTCTGTTCTGACCCAACATGGCACCCAGCCTCTAGAGCTGAAGCCAATGGACACTTCATAAGCGCCGATGTGCATGGCCATTCCCACGTCCACACAACATAAACTGGGGGGTGTCCCTCTCAGTCAGATGGCAGTGCAGCTGGAGCGAATGCACCATGAGGTCAGCAAAACCCACCTCCACTACAGATGCCAGGAGAGCCACCAAAAGTCAGGGAGGGGCAGCCACGAGGGGAAGGAGAAAGAGAGAGTAATGAAAGAGAAAATAGTTATGAAACGGAAGGAGAAAAGAGAGACATGAACAAAAAGATTCGAGATAACAGAAGAGGTAAAATAAAAAGGAAAGGCGAAAACGTCACTCTGGCATTTACAGTTTAAAGCTTTCGGGGCATTTATGAAATGACAGTTGCAATAAAACAAACAGAATGGTGAGTCATCCAGTTTCCAAGTTGAGTCAAAAGGGGCTGTTTCTAGACAAAGCGCAAGGCAGCCCTGCGCCACACACTCCACGATGCCTATCGCAGCACAGACAGGATGTGGGGAGCGGGCGGTGCGAGTGCAACTGTCTCTGCTGGTCCCAGTGTCACCAGGCATAAAGACTGTCGAGATTTAAACCATAATAATGGAAAGGCTATAAAGGTCTCAGCTATAATGTTTCCTCTGATGTTCCCTTTCATAAAATGCCCGCTTTATGTTGCCTCCATGGCCGTGATACACTACACACCCACAAAAGTGTGTGGCCCAGGAGAAATGTGGCACCTGAAGTTCCCAGCAGGCAGCCAGGCAGCAACTGTACACTCCAGCCCCTTGGCTCACCACCACCATCTACATACGTGAGAACACATGCACACATTCTACAAATATGTACTGAGTGCCTACTTCCTGCCAGGAGCCAAGTTAGAATACATGCCCATCCCATAGAGGATTTAATAAGTGCCTAGGTGCCAAATACCTAGGAAACAAACAAACAAAAAATATATTCTGCGTGGAAATATGACCATGCAACATAGGGACTCCTTTGCTACTTCAGCACCTACCAGCTTTACACAAGGGCATGGCAGCCCAACAGTGACAGCAACTTTCCCTCCTCCTAAGCCAGAGCGAAGTAGATAAGGTACAACACAAATCAGATAAATGCTCAAAAAAGGGGGCGAAACTGACACCCACAAAGACATGCATTTGCTTGAACTCAGCAGACAAAACTGTACAGAAACTACTAGTTTAAAGAGAATCTTTTATCTGCAGCCTGCCACCTAACCATTCTAGGCACCAGGGAACCGCAACGCCAAACCTCTCCATGTTCATACCTTATGGACACGGCAAAGAGGCAGGAACTTAGAAAGGACAACATGGATGTGAGAACCACACGAGGGATAAAATGAGGTTGGAACCTGTAAGTCAGGGAGACCGTGTAATGCAATTAGGGAAGCCAAGGCACAGCATTAGGAAAGGACCCATCCAGTCAAGCCCAACTCGCACTGGCTAGGTGGGCAGCCAGTGCCAACCACAAACCATCCCGGCTGCTTCCCTGTTGACTATACTAGTAATTGGCGAGTCTGTGCTAGAGCCACCAATTACCTTTCGGCCTCTGTACTTAGTTTACAGACAAGGGGAAGCAGGAGAGACCAGTTAGTAATGAGGAAGTAATGGCCACTAAAAGGCATTGTGTTTTACAGAGCTGCTTCAGCAGGAAAAGCCATTCGGAAAATAAAAAGTGAAAGAATAAAATAAGCGAGAGAAACTCAATTTTCTTCTCCCTTCCTCCCAAAGCCACACTTAGGATAAAATGAGGTTTGTGCAGGTTAATCCTTATGAGGTAAGAAAAAAATGATTAAATACATTTAAAAAAATCAATTGTACATTAAACCAAATCCAGGAACTGCAAAAACAAACACCGCAGCATCCCTCCAGCCGCGGAGCTCTGCCGTCTGGTCAGCAGGGGATACCCCACCTGACGGAGCCGCTGAGGTAATGGGAGGGAAGCAGGAAGGAAGGGGAGATGGAGCTGGGGAGGGGCGGAGAGGAGGGAAGACCAAGATTTCTCTGAAATAAAGGCATTTCTAGACATTCCAAAGGAAGAAACAAAATGGGGCTCCGGAGACCAGGCTGAGTTCTTCAAAACTCCAACAGAAATAACAATAATGATAATAATCATGTGATAAACAGGAGTTATAAACCGCGTCCCTGTCAAATGATCTGCCACTATTTCCAGTTATTTCTTCTGCTCATTAGCAGATCTATTAACTGCCATTTTTCAGCGAGACAACAGAGAGCGGGAGCTGGAGGTGAGGTTAGGAGGCACGCCTTTGTCTTGGAAGAAAGCCCCTCTTGGAGCCAGGATGGAAACGCCTCCCCCTCCCCAGTGCTCTGGGGTCCTCAGAGGAAAGCCCACAAGCATGCAAAGCCCGAGACAGGGCCGGGGCCCCAGCTCCTCCACAGTGGAGTCAGGCCGGAGAATTCTTGGCTAATCCTACATAAACCTCACAGGGCTGAAATGTCTCGGCCCATTTGCTTCTCTGTGTGCCCGGCAACCACCCAGTCCCGCCTGCAACCAACCCTCCTTTTCATCACTTGCTTCAGCCACACAGCGGGAGGAAGATCTGAGTCAGGGCCGTGGTCAAACCCGTGCCTCTGGGAGGACCAGGAGCTAGGTACTCACTTCAACAAGGCACACCTGTCAGTCTTGGGTCCCAAAGTCTAAAAAAGTGACAAATCCAAAGCCCCCCCCCCACCTTAATGTGCTTCTGAAATGAGTCACTGAGAATTGAAAAGAAAGTGGGGGGGGGGGGGGGGGGGGGGTGGTAAGGGAATGCTGACAGGAAAAACAGGTAATCAACCATATGACAGCAGTGTTCCCAACAGAATAAAGACACGTACCCACAGGGGAAAGTTTCAAAACATCTAAACATTATTAGAGTGGTTATCAATGGCAACAAGATCTGACAAAAAGATTTTACTCTCTTAAAGACATCTCTATTCATTTCCAAGCACGAGAACTCTGACAGTGAGGATTTGTGGATGTGGACAGGGACGCAGATAAAGGGTCTGCCTGAGGGCAGTGAAAGCAGAGATGGAAGATGCCGGATGCTGTAGCTTCTACGTGGGTCCAGGTGACTCCCTGAAGCCTGCACAGCACCACTTCAAGAGCTGGAGTCAAAAGCAAATTGCTCAATTGTGGAGCCTTCCCTCTGCCAGCAGGAGACGAAGAACAAGCGGCTGCTGCCCCCTAGAAGCTACCAGGCACATTGCACCTTGCTCTACAGACAAGATGAAAAGATCCTATTATCTTGCCTCCATCGCGTAACCTGTCATTAGTGAGGTGCATGGGTGCAGACGCCTCCTCCAAGAACAAGGAGGCCACATCACCTGTGATAAATTAATAGGTGCCTTTTCAACAGCTAAGATGCACACAAAAGACTCCACGCAGGGAGAGCGCACAGGCAGCAGCCCAACCCTAAGCCCCTCTCCCACACACTGCTGGTCCTGAGAAGAGCTCAGCAGTGCCGACTTTGGGGCTTGAATCCCAGGCCTGCCACTTACTCGCATAGGAACCTGTGTGCCCTGGGCTTGTTTCCTCGCTGTAAACTGAAGAAAAGAGTCATTCTCACCAGTTTGTTAGGATAAAACAAGATAACAAAAATACAGAAACAGTAGGAGGCCAGCAATTCATATAGCACAAGCCCTACTGGCCTTTGTGATCAGAGCTTGTAATTGGTCAGTTAATCAAAAAATCAGTTAAAGCGGGGAATCATTAAAAATGGAGCCTCCTCTGCATACCTTACACATTTCACATTAACTTAAAACCTATAAACGTACAGTCATTTGCTAATCTTTTGATGTAGAGCCAAGACCTTTTCTTTGAGTGTGGGCCCACAGACTGAAGTTCCCAGTCAGACGTCTTTCTTGCATAAACCCCACCCATAACACACCCTTCACCATTTCTAAAGCAAAGCCAGAACTGAAAGAAATTAGTAAAGCAAATCAAAGTACCAAATACTTCTAGATTTTTATGATCTTCCCCTAGCTTAACTGCCGTCTTGTTCACACCTCAAAAGACAGCAATCTTTTTAGCAGCTCACACTTACCAAAGCATTCAGCTCAGTTTTCATAGAACCCTTTTCACATTTGTTTATAAAACACACAATATTTGTAGGTCCCTCTGTTCACATCCTATATAATAAAGAAGTAATATGCAAATTGACTGCCATGGCCTCACACAAGATGGCCTCCCCCATGTGGGCACAAGATGGCCATCAGGGGAGGGCAGTTGGGGGCAACCAGGCCAGCAGGGGAGGGCAGTTGGGGGCGACTGGGCCTGCAGGGGAGGGAGGGCAGTTGGGGGCGACCAGGCCTGCAAGGGAGGGAGGGCAGTTGGGGGTGACCCGCCCTGCAGGGGAGGACTGTTGGGGGCGACCGGGCCGGCAGGGGAGGGCAGTTTTGGGCGATCGGGCTGGCAGGGGAGTGGTTAGGGAGCAATCAGGCTGGCAGGGAGAAGTGGTTAGGGGCAATCAGGCAGGCAGGCAGGCGAGCAGTTGGGAGCCAGCAGTCCCAGATTGTGAGAGGGATGTCTGACTGCGGGTTCAGACATCGGGCCTAAACCGGCAGTCGGACATCCCCCGAGGGGTCCAGATTGGAGAGGGTGCATGCTGGGCTGAGGGACACCCCCCACCCCCACCCCCAGTGCATGAATTTCGTGCACTGGGACTCTAGTTTATTTATATTTCACCTATTGACAGCATGTTTAGTAAACAGCCTAAATCATTAACAAATGCAATTGGCTCACACAGGTTCAGGCCACGCTGGCCTGGGTGAGTAGGTCCCCCGGTGCCACATCAGCTAGCTGGTTGCTGCAAGGAGTGTGCCAAATGCAAGCTCTTAACACTTTAAAAAATGTATGTACTGCACAAGAGATGTGAAATGACTTTCAAAAGTACACACGAGACAAAAGGACCAGCAAAAGGAAAGAATAAGGAAGGGGGGGAAGATGTTTAACAAAGGTTGCTTACTTTTTCCCCTTCTCCCTCAAAATCCATGTTTGGTAAACGGTGGGAAAACTAAACCATTTATACAAATAACCAACTTACGTGCCTGATTCTATGAGCAGATCCTCCCCACCAGCCTGGAGAAAGCAGCCCTGTCCCTCAAGACCCTCTTGCTGTGGCCCTATTAGGTCACAGGGGACACACAGCGAGAGGGAAAGGCCTCGTGGTGGACATTGCTGGGTGAAGGGGGTGACGGCTGACCCAGCCTCATCCCCCCACCCCCCCCAGACTCTGTAAGCACAAACAGGAGAGCTGTGCCACCAGGGTCACTGCTAAAGCAAGAGGTCACAAAGGTGACAGCATGTCTTCTAGACAAGGCAATAGATCCGGCCCGGCCCCTGAGGGCTATGAGTTAGCTCCGCTCTGAGCCCAAGTGTCAGGGAGTGCCCTGGGCAGATTTACCTCAGGAATCACTCAGTGTCGGCCCCATCTCTAGGCTGTTCGGACAAACTCATAATGGCAGAGAGAAGATTTGTGGAGCAACAAGCATAAATCTTGGTTATAACTACAAACCATAAAAGAGAGGAGAGCTGGGAGGGAAGAAGGAAGGGCGGCGAAGGCGTCCTTCTCCAAAGCACCACTTTATCTTCCTGCGGCTTCTCACGGCGCAGAAGTGGGATTAACTACAAGATCATATTTTCAAACCCAAATTGGCCTATGTGGTTTGACAATGAGCTAAAATGTTTTAAACTGAAATTCTCGTGCAAAACGCAGGGCACGCGGCTGTCCAAAGTATTTGACATTCAGTGGTCCCCAGACTGGGGGATTTATTGAGTTTGCCACATGAACACCCCTATTTTAGGTCACAATTAAAAATACCCTTTTAAGTAAAACTTCTTTCAAATGAGATTACTAATCGATTTTAAGCAAAAGAAGAACCTTTGAGAACGTCCCTCTGCCCAGTAAAGCTCTGGACAGCCCGTGCTCAGCAAGGGGTAGGACGCGCCCTGAAGGACTCAAGGGCTCTGTCTCCAGGAGAAAAGGGGGGACACGACCCACTTCCTCCAGAGCAATGCTGCCGGGGACGAGATGAAAGATGAACTCCCGGCACCGTGCGGCTCTGCGAAGAGGCCTCAAGTGCCCAGTTCCTCAGTTCCCACGTCTCTGAAACGAGGGCACTGTGTGGTTACCCAACAGCCAGGCCTCTGATTACAGGAACTATAGCAAATGTAAAGTGTTACCAGGAAAGCCAGGAACCCAAAGGATAAACAAAGCTGAAAAAGTATTTCAAATTCCACTCCTCTAATTATTACTCCTAAGAGTTTCGATTCATCTAATAATTATTTGTAAAAGGATACCTTACAACTGAAAAAGCAACCTCTTCATTTACCTGAAAGAGGAAAGAACTTGAAAGGCAGCCGCCTGGTCTATGGACTAAACCCTCCCAGTCCATAATAGAAAGGACGGGTAGGAAGAGGCAGTCATTTCAAAATCAGTAAGTGGCCCAGAGATCACAGAGAAGCCACCCAGAGACAGAATGAGAATTTTCTCCAGTTCATCCTCTTCAGCATTTAGTTCTAAGCCATTTTCCTCCCCGCGATGGAGTGCAGGCGGGACCCTCAGGCACCCTCCCACAAGGGTGTCCGTGTTACAAGAGGAGTGTTTGCTTCACTAGAGGTTTTGCACTGTTGAGAGGGGAACGGAGGAGGAGGCACGGCCAAGTTTTTCCTATTTGGAAGGTGCCCAGGCTGCAGGCCCAGTACGTGGGGTCTGGGCACACGACATCGTCCCCAGCACAGAGCTATACCAGGAGGCCCACCCCCAGCTGTTTACACTAATTTTTGGTCCCAAATTTCTCAGCAGCAGTTATGAGGGGTCCTCCCCAGCCTGTGTTGCTAGTAACAGTGTAAGTACCCAAATCGACAGATAACTCACTTCTTAAATATAAATAAGTAGCCCTGGCTGGGTGGCTCAGTTGGTTGGAGCATCATCCTGTACACCAAAAGGTTGCAGGTTCAATTCCTGGACAGGGCAGATACCTAGACTGCGGGTTCGAAACCCACTGGGAAGCATAGGAGAGGCAATGGATGAATGAGTCTCTCTTACTTCGATGTTTCTCTAGCTCCCTTACTCTTTCTAAAAAAAAAACAAAAAAACCACATATTCTTGAGTCAAGAAATAAATAAGTAATTAAATAAATAGCAGATTTAGGATTACCCCTATAATGTCATGCCCAGTCACCTACATCCTGATGTCCGAGTGAGAAACAGAGGTGGAAATTACAGCTTACATGAGCAAACCTAACTCTGTTATTCAACAAGCCCGTAGAAATCAACCACTATATATTTTTAAAATAATAATGCTTAACACTGTACATTTGCTATATCTATTTATTTCTTTCTCCTGGGGAGGAAAAATGACAAGTTTCTGAAATCTCTAAATGGCTAGTTTCATTGCCCCTATGCTTATAAAACACTTTCATGAATACAATATTAAAATCAACTTTATTTCCCCGCCAAGTGCTCTGAATTTTGTTAAAAGGTGTGTGTTACATGTTCTACATATGCAAACATACACACATCCATAGTGCACATGAGTGTACACACAAAGAAGTGCACTGAGCATATGAATGTCATCCTTCAGAAATGTCTTGGTGGGGGAAAACCCGCCTCGCCACAGTGAGCCCACCAGCAAGTTCACCAAAATACTCTAACCACAAAAGATACAGATACAGGGAGGTGCCTGCAGAACTACATGAAAGGTCTCTAGAAGACTAGCCACAGGCATTCTCAAACAGAGGCTCACAGCCTAGCTCCCTAAATTCATCGAGATATGAAGGGCCTTTTGATTACCGGCCTCTGGTTAACTGACGTAGAAGTAAAGAGAAAATCCCTAGGTGTCCAGGTGTAAGGTGGATGAGCTCCCCCAGAAGACCTGAGATCAAATACACGTTGTAGAATCCAGGTGGGCGAGGTTCCATCTTAGCCTCAAGGAGAAACCTGAGGACTCAGGACACCTCTACTTAGAGGACAAAACTGCCGGCACACAGCCTGGGTCTGCAAGTGTCGAGTGTCCTTACTTTTAAGAATCCAGCATACTGCCCTAGCCGGTCTGGCTCAGTGGATAGAGTGTTGGCCTGTGGACTGAAGGGTCCCGGGTTCGATTCCGGTCAAGGGCACATGGCTGGTTTGCGGGCTCAATCCCCAGTAGGGGGCGTGCAGGAGGCAGCCAATCAATGATTCTCTCTCATCATTGACCTTTCTCTCTCTCTCTCTCTCTCTCTCTCTCTCTCTCTCTCTCTCCTTTCCTCTCTGAAATAAAAATACAATTTTTTTTAAAAAATAATAATCCAGCATACCAAAAAATATTGGTCCTAGGGAAAGTGATAAAGTAGAAATCACCATCATCATTTATAAAAATACATTCATGTAAGCTTAGCATTCTTTTGGTGGGTGGATACAGGGAAAGGTGGGTGGATACAGGGAAAGGACAGAAACAAAACAACAACAAACCCTATACTTTACTGTTAGAGGAAGAGAACACGGCAGAAGACTCATCCATTAGAAAGAACTTGATGTCAATGAGCAAAAAGCTGAAATTCTAGTTTAGCCAAAACCCATAAGCATATAAAGTAGATGAGCAATAGTGTTGCTGAATATTGAGAAATTTGTTGCGTTGAAACAAGTAGACACGTAAACGAAACTTATTTACTGCTTACTTCAAATAACCTAAATCATATGACTAAAAGGACTCTCGGAAGGTTACTTAACCCCAGTTTCTGTATCCAAGCAAGATAGGAACTGAGTTACTCCATGCCAACAATGTCCACCCATTCTTTTCTTTCTTTCTTTCTTTTTTTTATTTCAGAGAGGAAGGGAGATAGAAACATTCATGATGAGAAGGAATCATGGATAGGCTGCCTCCTGCACATCCCCCACTGGGGATGGAGCCCGCAACCCGGGCATGTGCCCTGACTGGGAATCGAACCGTGACCTCCGGGTTCATAGGTCGATGCTCAACCACTGAGGCACACTGGCCAGGCTTTAACCATCCTTAAAGACCCATCAGCAAGGCAGGACTTCATCCTGCCAGAGTGAATCCACCTAGAGCAATGGTTCTCAACCTGTGGGTCGCAACCCCTTTGGGGGTCAAACGACCCTTTCACAGGGGTCGCCTAAGACCATTGGAAAACACATATATAATTACATATTGTTTTTGTGATTCATCACTATGCTTTCATTATGTTCAATTTGTAACAATGAAAATACATCCTGCATATCAGATATTTACATTACGATTCATAACAGTAGCAACATTACAGTTATGAAGTAGCAACGAAAATAATTTTATGGTTGGGGGTCACCACAACATGAGGAACTGTATTAAAGGGTCGCAGCATTAGGAAGGTTGAGAACCACTGACCTAGAGCCTTTGAGTGAGCCTGAGCATGTGTCCACAAGGTGACGAGAAAACTCAGGTCTACAGGAAATTTACAGAAGGCTTTGAACAAGTCTGAGAGAAGCTGGAGGGGCTGTCAAAATTCTTTGCCCTTGGAGGAAAAGCTCAATAAAGAAACAATGAAGAAGAAAAATTAATCAGCTGTTTTAACTAATACAAAGAGTTTTGTCATTAACAATTAGAATTTCAACTGGGAGTTCTCAGAATTTGTCAAACTGGTCTGTTCACCAATCTCTAGCACTGAGAACTTTCTGACATTATATCCCACTAATACAGTCAGGGTTGCTGGGTTCGTTTTTTGGGGGGAGGAGAATTTAAGGGGCAAGAGAAGGTAGCATGAAGTGTCACTGCTTGCATAGAATCAAGACAAGGGGACGGACATAAACACAAATATATCATTTAGAAACTACAAGACCATACTTCTCAGCACAAAATCACAAGCCTGTTTGTATTGTCCAGAGAGGACGGAAATAAAATCAGGCCCTCCTTCCCTAGCAATAAAGCAAACAATCATGCAGAAGCCCAAATACATCCACCTGCTGTAAATAGAGCCTCTTCTGTCGGAACCCCCCGTCTATATATTTAAAGCCTAAGCGACCAGTCGACCGAACAACCGATCGACCAGTTGCTATGATGCGCACTGACCACTTGGGGGCAGACGCTTAATGCAGGAGCTGCCCCCTGGTGGTCAGTGCACTCCCACAGTGGAAGCGCTGCTCAGCTAACCAACGGGCGCCAGATGCTGTGCTCACGACTGGTGAGCACCGCTGTGGCGGCAGTGGCGCCAGCCTCAGGCACAGTGGGGCCAGGATGAGCGGGAGCGCCCCAGCAACCTGCTGCTTCGAGCACTACTACATCCCTTGGGGGATGTCGGACTGCCGGTTTCGGCCCGCAACATGCCCCCGAGGGGTCCCGGATTGTGAGATGGCACAAACCAGGCTGAGGGACCCCACCAGTGCACGAATCCGTGCACCGGGCCTCTAGTTTTTCATAAGGGGGAAGTTATTCCAAAGTGATCATCCAGTTCTGGAGACAAAGAACACCAGTATTTGCCTTTAGCATCCTGTGCTTAGCCCTTTTTACTGTAGAGAACAGGCAGCTCCCATTAAGGAATTTTGCACTCAGCTAAAAACAAAAACAAAAATAGCATAGCAGGGTGTTCCCTCAGCACTGAACTATCCCATTCCTCCAGACCTGGCTTCCAGCTCCACAAAACCCACCCTGAGTACCCATCACCCTCCACCCCGCTTCCTCTGCAACTCCTCCTCTGAATAATGAGGGCTCTCTCAGACTCCATGCCAGGCAATTCTGCACCAATTATACACGATTTTATACTGTTCGTTAAATTATATACAGCCCTGTGTTTTTTGCTAATTGTTTCATGTATACAAATGCCTTTCCTCCCCCAGATAAAATATATAAATTACTTAAGAAGAGGCTTAGTTTTATTCTTCAATTGTCTATTCCTCCTGAGCATCCAGGGAATGGGTAACACCCCCAGCCAGAATTCCTGTGCTATCGGGCTTTCTGTGGTTGGGCTACCGTCCGTCCCTTCTCCAGCACCTGTGACTCAGCACCCGCTTCAGAGCAGCTTGTCCTGTACCCACAACCTGCCACACGAGCTCTCGCTAGCCCCTGGCGGGCTCCTCTGCCTGGCACCCTCCCACTGCCACTCCCAAGAGGCAGAAGTAGTTCACACAAGACCATACAACTCGGCTGGTGCCCTCATTTAATCAGGCTGCTGCAAATGGTTGGCCAAAAGCAATAAGGCCATGACTGAGAGACTGTGGGAGTTTAATATAAAAAATTTAATAAAAAAAGAGGGGTCTACCTTTTAATAGGGCTCTAATTACCCAACTCATAGGATCAGCCCAAATGAGATGGGAGTTTATTTCGGGTTTTTTTTTTAATTATTGTTTTTTTTATATATATATAAATTGCTGCTATGTGTTTTCTTTCCTCTGAGCAATTATGCAGCAAGTACGTAAAGAGGGGAAAAAATATTAATTAAATATAAGGTAATTGTAGAGTTGGCCTGGAGAGAATGAGTCTGAACTCTGGACAATCACAGGCTACTAGGGTTTGAAGACTGCTCAGGGCCTCCCAGAAAAGAAAGAAATAAAAATACAACCAACCAACAAGCAGATGCACAGTGCAGCAGGAAAAGAGCATGAACAGAAACATTAGCAGAGCAAAGGGGCTGCAGGGCTCCACAACCCTGAAATCAGTGAGGCTGCCAACTGCTTGGGGCTCCCTGCTAGAAAGGACCACCCAGAGTTTGTCCAACCATGACCCCCCAGAATGGACCGGCCGCTCTCCTGGTGATCAATAGTTAAATTAGGAGGTCAAAATTTAAAGAGACTGAGGAATAAAGGATTGAAAAGGACTGTCATGTTCAATTTGGACATCACTCCAAAACCAACTATAACTTTAGCCCGAGGGGCAGTGTGGCAGGCCCCGTGGGAAATACTCAAGGTCTACCTAAGAGACTGGCTTTCACACCACCGTGACCTCAAGGAAGAACTCAGGGGATCCCAAAAGAGTGAAATGAAGCCATTGCGGGGACAGGTGAAAATGAGCCATTTTTGGTAACAACAGGTGACATGATGGCAGTAGCACTGTCCTGAAACAGTCCAGGCAGGGCTTGTATCGCCCTGGTCTTTCTCCCCTCTGTCCTGGAAAGCCTTAGAACAGGCTAGGATTCAGACTTGCTCACAACGCTAAGGCCCTCTCCTTACCTCCTCACGCTACTGCCAGAAGGAGAAGGAAGAAAAACAGGCGAAACAGCAGGCCCCGCAGAAACAAAAGCTGGGCAGTTCATCCCTCAACTTGTTGTCAACATTCAAAGAGAGAAAAAGCTCTGAAAAGTTCAACCTAAAGCTGGCCCCTCCATAAAACATGTCTGGTTTGTACAGAACAGGTCTCTCTACCCCACCAACAGGACCGGCAACCGTCCTGAAATGCAAAGTAGGATAAAAATGGGGCAGGCGGGCAGGCACTCTGGCTCAGACCCCCGAGCAAAAGCACTTTGTCAAGAAAATTACCTTCGGTACCTAGTAGGCCTCTTCCCTGACAATAATATAAGCAGGAAACAAATATCATAAACCTAACTACTAACCAGGCAAAATGGAGTTCCCTCCCTTACCTGTTCTTCAAAGGCCACCTGAGGTGCCCTCACCCTTAGGGACAAAGAACAGCTATTCCAGCCCTAGCCAGTTTGGCTCCGTGGATAGAGTGTCGGACTGCGGACCAAAGGGTCCTGGGTTCAATTCTGGTCAAGAACACGTACCTCAGCTGCAGGCTCCTCCCCAGCCTGAGCCCTGGTTGGGGCGCATGCAGGAGGCAACCAATCGATGTGTTTCTCTCACATTGACATTTCTCTCTGTTTCTCCCTCTCCTACTCTCTCTAAAAATAAATGGAAAAATATCCTCGAGTGATATTAAAAAAAAGAAAAAAGAACGGCTATTCTATACAATCAAGCAGCAACTTGGTTAAGCCCAGCAGCCTCACTCCAACTCAGCCCCCAAAGGTTTCAGGCGCCCCACTAATTACTATTGATCAGCAATAAGCCAAGTGGTGCATCACCAACTGGGGTGGATGCTTTCAGTTCCAGAAAAGATCAGGCTTTGCCCTGACCAGGTAGCTCAGTTGATTAGAGCATCATCCCGAAATGCCAAGGTTGTGGGTTTGATCGTCAGGACACATACAAAAATCAGCCAATGAATGCATAAATAAGTGGAAGAACGCATAAATAAGTGGAACAACAAATCTCTCTCTCTCTCTTTCTCTCTCTCTCAAATCAATAAATAAAGATTAAATTAAATAAAAAGAAGACGAGGCTTTACTAAAGAGATCTTACTAATTCCTGATGCCAGGAAGTCAGAAGTCAGAGGTCACTGATGGGGTTAGTCTCCACACAACATCTACTTTTAAAGGGACACTACTGATGTAAAACTGTAAGACCATAGGGTTTCTTGAAACTCACATTGTATTTTCACTATTAGAAAATGATACATATGTATCCTGGATTCTTACCAGTGGCTCTCGAGGCATCACATTTTCACTTCCTGGACTAGAGCTTGGCTGCAAAGAAAAACAGAAACAAAAATAAGATCACAGTGCCACCCAATGGACATCAAAACCAAAGACATTCTACTCGCAAGCAACACACACAAACCCCTTTCTCATATTTCCCTCCGTTTTTTCACACTGTAGAGTGTGCTGGGTGGGCTATCTGTAAGCAGTGGCCCGAAGAGTCTGAAGTTCCAGCGAACACGAAGAGGCTGTCTGGGTTCAGTGCCAGCACCTCGAGAAGGCTGGGCTTGGCTTAGGAGGACCCAAGACCAGCAGCTGGGCAGCAGGGGCTGAGGACCATCACCAAATCCATGGAAATAGCAAAGTCCAGCAGGAAGGTGTTAAGTGAAAGCAAAACCTTTTTGCCTCCTCCCAACTAAGGAGTTGACCAGGAAAGGCAGAGCAAAAGTGGAGAAACGGATCCAGCCACAAGGGGGCCCCAGTTGCCCACACCCAGGATTTTCTCTGGGCATCTATCTGGAACCAGGAAAGCGAGATCTACCCTGGTTCCTACACTAGTCTCCGAGGACAGCGATCCACAGCAGAAAAGAAAGCCAGGCTTAAACTCTTTTTTCACAATAAGCTAGTGACAGGCTGACAGATAAACAGACCAACTGGCAGGCAGGCAGCATCATGGCCCACTTGCCTGGCTCTAATCTGTTCTGTTTCCTTCTCCTCTGGATCTCTCCCTCTCCCTCACCCTCACATCTGCCTTCAACCCTTGACTGATCTTACCAAATTTAGAGAAAGAGAGAGATAGAGACAGAGACAGAGACAGACAGGCTCGGAGGAAATTTACAAACCTCCAAAAGCATAAAACAAGCAGTTTGCAAGAGTTATGACTGGTTTACTGTACTGATGTTCAAGCCAATTTCCAATTATCTACAGATAAAATCCAGACAACTGCAGCTAATGTGTGGGTCTTAGGAGCCAGCCTCCAGCCTCCACACTCCCCCAGCCAGTTCCAGATGGCAAGTGGCAGGCTCCTAGGAAAAAAGAATAGGAGGTAGGGAAGGGAAGAGTGCAGTCCACAGAGGGTCCCTTACGATGTCCTTACGCCCAGATGCCACCACACAGCTGGCACATGCACACTGGGAAGGGCTCTGCTGGAAGACAGACTCCATCCTCATCCAAAGTCCTGTCTCAAGTGCTCCTCTTGTCCCAGGACAAGGCCAGCCAGCATGAAGCCAGGTAGCAAGTCTCAGGGCAGGTAAGCATGCTTCCCCTCCCTTCCTTCCTCCCGCCCAAGGCTCAGGCATCAATAAGCTCCTGCATTTAGATCTCGAGCCCAGATGCCTCTGAGTTCTACATCCGACTGCCTCCCTACCTCCTCTTGGACTTAAATCCATAGCAGATTCATAATCTCCTCCCTCGGCTACACATGTCCTTTTCCAGTGTTCCCTATCTGAGTGATGGGACAACCTTCCACCAAAATATGTGAACACTAGGCCATCCTTGACAGCTCCTTCTCCCTGACTCGCCAGAGCTAACTCATTATCAAGCCCTGCCAATATTCCTTCCTAAATATCCACGGACTCAGTCCATTCACTTCTCTCCTATCCAGTGCCAGCACCATGGTCCATGCTTCCAAAATCTGCCTGAGCCGCTGCAAAGGCCTTCTAATCAGCTCACCCACACCCATGCTGGCTCTCTTCCCATTCATTCTCCACACTGCAAAGAGACTATCTTTCCAAGCGATAATCCAATCATCTCACCCCGAATCCACCCGCCCACCCCAGTAAACAAGTCTAATACAGAAAAAACTTTTCAGCATGGCCTGCAAGGCCTTGCATCTACTCTGACTACATCTCAGTCTGCGTGGCACCGCATCCCCCAGCTCTGCCCACAACAGACACACTGGCCTTTGCCTCCCCTGTCAAATGGGCCTTTGCACATGCTATTCCTTCCTTTCCCTCTGACAATTTAACTTGTCACTTCCCCAGGGAAACCTTCCCTCTCTGACACCCATGACGGCTCAAATCTCTGTTATAGACTAACAGCCTACTGTCCCCCACCACATTATAAACTCCAGAACTGTGTCCGCTCTGCACTGTATCCCTAGGGCCTGGGACAGTATCAGGTGCACGCCAGGCATTCCATAGACATTTGTAGAATGAATGATGAGCAATGAAGAAGACAGCAATGGTTCTAACTCAACTGAATGGACTAAATAGTAAAGTTGATTATCTTCCTGAAGCTGCCTTCACTCCATTTGGTAAATACTAAGTGCTAACATTTATTTAGCTCGTCCTTCACTTAATTCTCACAATAAATTTATAAAATTATTGCTGATGAGAAAACTGAGGCAAGGGATGTTAAAGAACTCACCCACGATGACTCAGTTAGTAACTGATAATAAAGGGGCCTGAACCTTTCTAACTAATCAAAATAATCAAGTTTTGTTTAGACCACATTTTATTAGCACCGACTTTAATGCTGCCCCATCAATAATAATGTAGGTTTTTTGACTTGATGAAACAATCCAATGCAAACAGCTTAGTATTTAGGAGGCCTCACTCTGACTTAACCCAAAACTTTCTTCCTGAGAGATCACCAAGGTACTTCCCTTAAATTAGTTTATCTCTTGAACAACTAGTATTTGCCAGAAGGAAAACCTGAAGCACTATACATTACCAAGTCTCTTTCATCACATACCTTTTGTACCTTTTTAAATTTTGAGCCATGAAAATATATTCTGCTTTTTAAAAAACTTTACACATTAAAAAATTTTAAAGGAAGCTTTCCTCTCATCCCAACACTCAGTCCCTTCTTCATTAGGCGACCCACCACTGCTGCTAGTTCCTTATATATTCTTCCCAGGATATTCAAAGGGTACAAGAAGCACATATATGTGTACATGTCCCCACCAAGGAACTTCAAACAGCAACACTCTCCAAATTCCTCAAGGTTTGGCTTCCTCAAGCCTAGCATCCCGGCACACCAAAGCCAGACCTCCAAAAGCAATCTCAGGGCTACTAAGAGAGGAGCAAGCGTTTCCCCAAACGAACTCACAGTGCTGCCTGAGGTCAGTCTGACCTTATCAGTGAATACAGAGCTTCTTGCCAATCTGGAAATTGCCCAATACGGATTATATTCTAGATCGTTCTCTAGCATGTCTGCAGTCTAAGATGGTCCATCCCCCATTTCCTGTCTCAGAGCCCTTTAGAAAAGTGTCTCTGGATGACCAAAACAGCCCTACTACTCTCCATACCGGTACCACCACCTGAAATTCTTCGCTGGGGAGCTAGTTGATTCTCTCTCCCCACTGGATTTTAAGCTCCTTGAAGACAGGCACTGTACTTTATTGAAGGCTGGTCTTCAGCACTTAGAATAACACTGGTCCTCAATACACACGTGCTTAAATATTTTCACCTAAAAAGTTAAAACAAAGGAACCACTCTGTATACATAATCCCACGTGAGACAAGCAGAGGACTGGCAGTGCCTTGTCTTTCCCTGGAACACTTCACCTCCGACCTCACACACACCTGGCCTATTCTCAATGCAGTGCTGTGGCCTGATGCTTCTCAACCCGCAAGGGGCACTTGAAAATGTGTGCAGGTGTTTCTGGTTGTCACAATGACCAGGGAGTCCCCATTTAGAGGGCAGGCGCCTGGGAGGCTAAATATCCTGCAAGGCATGCAATGAAGAACTGTTCATCCAAACCACCAACAGGCCCCCTTAGAGAATCCTGACCACTGCTTCCTTATGCGGGGGGGACAGACCCCATCTTCAGCATGCAGTCCTACGTGCTGTGTCAAAGGAGGCAAAGGTCTGAGCAGGCAAGTGCTTGTCAGAGTGGAATTCCCAAGCTCACTAATCTCACCAGTCCAGCTTTCATGAAAGCCCAACACTTCTCAAACGCCTACGCCTACACATCAACCCCGTTTAAGTGGTCAAGTCTACTTTCTGGCTTGAGACAAATCCCTACAAATTAAATCCCAACTGGTTCCTAGAAACCTTGACAGGGTGGCCTAATGATAGTAAGGTTCAAAAATCACAGCTGCGGTCTATTGCCAAGGTGTAAGAAGTAGGCTCTAGGCCAGTGGTCGGCAAACTGCGGCTCGAGAGCCACACGCGGCTCTTTGGCCCCTTGAGTGTGGCTCTTCCTAAGCCTTAGGAGTACCCTAATTAAGTTAATAACAATGTACCTACCTATATAGTTTAAGTTTAAAAAATTTGGCTCTCAAAAAAAATTTCAATCGTTGTACTGTTGATATTTGGCTCTGTTGACTAATGAGTTTGCCGACCACTGCTCTAGGCAATCCACAGTCAGGATCCTTCGGGGCCAGACTGCAAGAGCAGAAAGGAAGAAGAGCAAAAACAGACAGACAGCCTGGCTGGCGTGGCTCAGTGGTTGAGCATTTACCTATGAACCAGATCACAGTTCAATTCCTGGTCAGCGCACATGCCCAGATTGTAGGGGGTGCAGGAGGCAGCCAATCAATGATCCTCTCTCATATTGATGTTTCTCTCTCTCTCTCCCTCTCCCTTCCTCTCTGAAATCAATATATATTTATTTATTTTTTTTTAAAAAAAGACAAACAAAAAAGTCCACAGTGGCAGAAAGGCTTTCAGTTTAATCGAGATGAAAATGCTCTCACTCCTGCTGCCCAGGCACTGACCTTCCCGGCCAGGTGAGCCCATGTGCTGACCTTGCTGCACAGCAAAGATGAACCGCACACACAGCTCAGGTTTGGACACTGAAAGGACATCCCGGTCTAAAGTCTAGGTGTACTCACTGACACCTGCCAGTGACTGTGTAACTCTGGTACATCCTAAGCCAGTCTGGCCTATAGGTCTTTGATGGGAAGAATAAGATTCAATTCAACAAACTTTTTTTTTGAGAGGCACTGGTACAGCGGCAAGTGCATAAACTCTAGTATTAATAACTGAGTGACAGTGGGCATAGTGTTCAATCTCTCTGAGCCTCAGTTTCCCCCTCTAGGGGAATAACGGGAATAATACTAGCACCTGACACTCAGGATGAAATGAAGTAAGAGGCAGTGT